GGGACCCTAATTTTCGGAAACTCCCACAGTTTTAGTTCCTTATACAAGACCGTCAGAAGGTAATCAGGTTCGTTAGGGTCCCGAAAGGGAATATCGGATGGGAGGCTTGCTAGGGTTTAGCGTTCATGGTTTAGGGCTGGGGGTTTAGGGTTTGGAGTTTAGGGTTTGAGGTTTAGGGTGTGGTGCTTAGGGATTTTATGCCTTTATACAGCCATGGGGGCCTTGACTGTAATCCCTGTCCAGAACTGTCTCCGCACTGAGATTGTTCAAGAGAGTTAGAAAAAACTCAAGACTACTAGGCGGCCCCGAAGTATAGGAAACTAGTCTTTCAGAAACCCTCCTTTCTGTCTGTACTATGAAGGAGGCCACTGTCTAGAAGGCTTTAGGACACGAGTCTAGTTTCCGCAGGGTTTAAGGCAGAACAGCCTGGATCCTAAACCTTACCTGGACCCCGAAAGACCTACGACATCACCCTCAAACGGTTAAGGGGTCAGGTAAACCCTAACATTGTGTCTTCCCCTAAAACCTAAGCCGCTTCACCAACCTCGCAGAGCGGGAGGCATGTCAAAAGCAGTGGTAGGTTCTCTCCTGCAAGGGTTTAGGGTTTAGGGTTCAGGGTTCAGGGTTTGGGGTTGAGGATTTGGGGTTTACGGGAACCGGCCTAATTAGGTTGCGGTGCAGGGTTTAGGGCTTGGGCTTGTTTGGATGTTGGGGTAAACCCTAAACCCTAAACCCTAAAACTATGGTTCGGGGTTTAAAGGGTTTAGGATTTACCCAGAGCCCGGTGCTCAAAACACCGAAACCCAACCACTGCCTTGAAGAAGAAGCCTTGGTAGCTAGAGTAGGGTTTAGGGTTTAGGGTTTAGGGCTTAGGGCTTGGGGTTAAGGGTTTAGGGTTTAGGGCTTAGGGTTTAGGGTTTAGGGTTTGGGGTTGAGGGTTTAGGGTTTCAGGGCTTACGGAGCCTAGGGTTTAGGGCTTAGGGAGCTTAGAGGGCTTAGGGAGTTTATGGTTTAGGGTAGAATGCGCGGGTATACTTTAGTTCAGGAGCCCTGAGGAACAGGACCCAACTCCCCTCAGCTCAATCGAACAATAAGGCGCGGCGTCTGGATTTGAAGGCAGACCTGTGACTCTAGGAGTTAGGATTGGGAGGACCCTTGGGGACATAGTCCCTCTCAACAAGGGGGTTTGGGGTTTAGGGTTTAGGGTTTAGGGTTTAATTTAAGAGAGCCATAAGTAGGGTCAAGAATGGTCCCCTTTTGACTGTTGCCTAGGAGACTCCACCTCACCGAAGAAAACCCTACATGGGCCCTACATGCCCTGCATTAAAGGATCAGGGGACTTCGAAAATGGGGATGACGAACAACAAATCCTGTACAGACCGCCTTTTGGGACGTAGTACATTTGGTACATGAGTGGCACTGAAAGTACTTGTAGCCCTACGTATGAATACCCTACCCATAGGCCCCATAGTAGTTCCTTTTTGGGGGCTCAGATTTAGAATCCTATAAGGTAATCCCCAAAAAGGAACTACGATGGGGCCTATGGGCAAACCAAAAACCCTAATCCTGAGCCGATGTGATGAATTAGGACACTGCAACCCAGAGAGCCCAATACCCCTTAATTAAGGAATAGACCTTAAATGATAAGGTCCTTAATATTATGATTTGAGGTATATTCGTTAATTAAGGGGCATTGGGCTCTCTGGGAAGTTCTGATTTCTGCTATCTCCCAGACCATCAGTCTCACGAACTTCATGCCGAAGTCAATCGTGCTCTCCGCCAGCTTGAAACAACAATAGCTGTATGTATGTGTTTATTTACATACATACACACAAACAATCAATAAACAAATCCATAACTAATCGTACATAAACAAACGTACAAATCCATAGCAAATCACACGTAAGCAAATCAATTATTAATTATGTCAATAAACATTACATATACAAATATGCCCGAATCATTCCTAGAAGCCGCCCAAACCCTCTACAATCGAAGCCGCAAGCCCAAAATCCAGAATTACACCAAAAACCTCCACCCTGACAATCGGAAGCCCCGACCCGCAACACAAATGACAAAATGGGAGCCTAAACCCTAAACCCTAAACCGGGTTTAGGGTTTAGGGTTAGGGTTTAGGGTTTAGGGTTTAGGGAGCACTCTCGACAGCTACACTCAGTCCTCTGTGGGCTGCTGGCCGGCCGCGGCGGCGAGAATCCTTTCTTTGGCAGTTGTTTCGGGTTTAGGGTTTAGGGTCTATTGGTGAAGGTTCGTGGGCGTAGAGCGCAGGATTTTACCGTTGTGGCCTTATGCCTGTGCAGGTAGCGATGTAGCGCGCCTTGACGTATAGCCTCCAGGACTTGTAGGGTTGAGCTTCTCGGGGGGAAATGGTGTGTTGCGGTCCAAGCTCACTCAAGTTGGTGGAATACAGGGGCCCCGAAAAGCCCGAAAAGGAGCATAACCTTCGTGGGCTTTTCTAGAAGGCGTTGCTGTGGGATATCCCTATCCTTACACGCGTTTGACGGGCGCTATAGAACGAAAGAGCAGCATTTGCTCCGATACCGGTTCTCCGACAAAGTATGTGCTTTTGGTTTTCGGGGGGGGGGGGGGG